ATTTATTGCTTTTTTGTGTATTTCATATAGACCATCCCAAACAATCTTATCTATATACCCACATCCCATGTAACAATCTCCCATGTTCCTCTACCCCCCACTGGAGCCCATATATTCTGTCATCCCTGTTACTGTCCACTGTGTTGTCAGTGACCCCAGCTGTTCCCCAGTGCTTGTCCATCAGCTGAAGACGCCACTTTAAGAATTAACAAATTGAGTTCAGAATGGTCCTCAGACCTAGTCTTGTGAGATTTTCAGTGACTGAACTACAAGAAGGCGGTTATCTCTGATGACAGGAAGCTTGTATGCTGCAGGGAGAGGGGCAGAAAAGACAAGCTCCCACCAAAGGAGTCAGATACTGGGGTTGCTGCAGTCACCTGGGCTTTCTCACCAGACCAGTTCCTGTTTAATATTGTAAAATAGACTTTCTAGTAGTTATGTATGTACTAATATATGTACATCTGGTCATTAATTGTATGATCTTGAAGGTAGATTGATTCAGACCTAAGTGATGCTTTTTTTCCTTTTATCTTGGCAGTATTTGACAACAGTTATCCCTTATGAGAAAAAAAATGGACCACCATCTGTTGAAGATCTTCAAATATTAACAAAAAGTGAGCAAAGACAAAATTAATCTGTAAACGTAATTTACTTTTGCTGACTAAACCCCTGACTCTCATTTCTATATTTTGTGTTTATCTTGTTACCGTGTGCTGGCAATTGATGGATGTCATTCTGTATTCTTGTGACAGTGAAATACAAAGTAGCTATGATGTCGATGGTAGCACTAACTGTAGTGTTTTCTGATTTTCCCCCCTTTTTGGAAATATTTATGTGGTGAGTATTTTGGGGGGTGATGTAACCTGAATCTTCATCACCTCTTATAAAAATATATCTGTCAGTGAATAAATGCTTTGTGGGTCTTATGTGACTTTGACTTTTAGTAACTGAATAGGAGAGGATTAGGATCACACTGCTTTCTTTTGAATGGAAAACCAAAGGTAATAGTTACAGGTAGAACGTAAGCCTGATGTTTTTTATTTTTGCTTTTGTTTTTGTTTGTATTTTGAGACAGGGTCTCCCTATAGCCACAGCTGGCCTGGAACTCTCTGTGTAGACCAGGCTGGCTTTGATCTGCCTGCCTCTGCCTCCTGAGAGCAGAGATTAAAGGTTTACACCATTAATGCCCAGCTTGACAATGATGTTTTAAGAACATGCATTCACTCAGCAAATGTTGGTAGGGTCTGCTCTATGTCAGGCTGTTTTCTGAGCGCTTGGGATAGATTAGTGAATAAAGCAGACAAAGATAGTCCACCTGTGTGTGGGTAGAGGCATGCTTTAAAACAGTTTGTGAGACTTAAATACACATTGTACTATGTACTAATATGTCTTAGGGTGGCTGTCAATGAGCACAGAATTCTGGTCGTTCCCTTTTATTTTCAGGGATATCCTTGGAAGTCACTTACTCTTTCTTGGTCACATTGGAAAATTAGAATAAAAATATTTCCTCAGTTTACCCTATAGAAAATAAATTATATGTGATTTGGGGCAAGTCATAATCAGCTTGATGTTTCCTGCCTTTAAAGTGAAAGGCTTGAGTACTGGCTATGGTGTACTCAGTAGGTTGAGTTAGGAGGACTGCCATAAGATTATGAGACTGAGATCAGCCTATCTCAAAAACAAAGAAACATAAAGGATTGATTTTATTAATCATATTATTTCTCATAATTTTTATGACAATTGCTAATTAGGAGGGAACCATATGAAAACATACTATGTGGATAGATACTAATAATGATATTTGTTTTGGAAATTCAGTCCACAGACTGAGGGTTAAAAAAATGAGGATGGTCCCTGCTGCCTGCTGGCTGCCTGCTAACCTCAGGCTTTTACAGTACTCTATGAAGAATAGCTTTTATTTAGATAAAGATAAATCAGGTGATTCCAGCCAGTCTAACATAAAGAATACAGAGCTTAACTGGGTGTCCAGCCCTCTAATTTTCAGGAAGAGCTTGCAAATTTGTGAGTGTCCAAGATCACATGGTAGGATGGTTAATTACAGGGTTGGGTCTGTTAATTCCCAAGCAACTCCACTGTGAATGATACTGGTTTTTGGAATGCAATTTTATATAGAAGCTTAAAAAGTGATTAAAACATGATTGGAAGTGGAAATGCTGTATGTAACAGTTGTCTGAAGTAGGGAGCACAAATACTGCTCAGAAGCCAAGAATTGTTAAGGAGCCTCAGCTCAAGGATAAACCAAGGTCGTTGCAGTTCCATTCTTGGTGATTTTTTAGATGACAGTTTCCTATATTGATACAATTTGGAATCTTTGAGTGAGGGAATGATTGTGCACTTTAAGATAGTTATGATGACGGTATTGTTAAGGTCATAGTCAAAAGTCGAAAGGACAATTGTCCCATGAAAACATTGAGGAGTACTGGGTCCTCTGTTGCCACTACTGGTACATGTTAGCCCAAGGAAAAACAGTTTATGGAAATGTAGCCTTTCTCAGAAGAGCTACAAGAAGGGGATCACAGCTCAGCATGGTTCATACTAGTCACTATTGTATGCCCTGTATAACCAGTGAGAAACTGGATCCTCACTAACAAGCTTTTGAGACAGAACTAATTATCCTTATTTTACAGACGAGGAACTAGATATTCAGGGTGGTAAAGTAGCATACTCAAAGTCACATAGTTAGGGAAGTGGTGGAACCAGGGTTAAAACCCCAGAAGGCTGACTTGACAGTTATACCATATGGTCTCCTCATACATCTAGAAAAAAAAAAAAAATCACTGTGAAAGCACATTTGTAAGTTTATCTCGACCTGGGTGATTCAGATTAAAAACCAAAACCCTAAACATGATACCGAGTGGCTGGTGTTTCTGTTTGGTTTTTACTGGGAGTATAAAATTGTTAAGCTGGCAGGCAGTTGTAGCTCAGTTAAGTGGAGCACTTAATGTAGCATACATGAAACCCTGTGCTTGATCCCCACAATATGCATATGAATACTCAGACACAGACACATGTGCACATGCACAAGTAGAGCCTCCCTTTAGGAGCACCTGGCTCCCTAGGCTTGTCCACAGTAGAGGGTTTTGAGAGTTTAGGAGATGCTGGGTGCTACCTTCTAGAAGTCCTTTTTTCATGTGATCTTTCCTTTAAATGTTTCTACTGTCTGACAGATGTGCTGGTTGGAGAGTACAGCTAAGTCTCCGTTTCTCTAGTTCCTCCCATTTTGAGGAGGATGGATGTACAGTTCATCAAAGTGCACATGACTGCCCCTCACATCTCAGTATCTGTTAGGACAAAGCAAATGCTCTGTAAACAGCCCACTTTCTATGTCCTGTTTTCAGTGCTTGGAAATACTAAAATGGGGAAGCATTCTTAAGAGTTCCTCAGTCAGGTTCCTGAACCTTTACTGTCATCCCTTACTAGGAAAGAATCTGACTTGGGTGATTCAGCTCCCTCATATCATTCATTAGTATTAAGTCTACAAAATTACTTTTGATCTGAACTTTTAAGTGGTTGTCTGTTGTCTTTTTCTTACTTCGCAGTTCTTCGTGCCATGAAAGAGGACAGTGAAAAAGTTCCAAGCTTATTGACTGACTATATACTGAAAGGTGAGTTTCTTGGTGGCATGTGAGGGATGGTTGAGGAACTGTGGTCAGTCAACAGATGTATCATCTTGTTTACAGGCTTTATTAATGTATAGTGAGGATAGGTATGTGACTGATATATGATTCCAACATCATGGCCCTACAAAATGTACCTTTTATTTGAGATCCTAGGCTGGAAAGAATTCTCACAGCTGAATGGTGAATTCTGGAGGAGGTAGAAGAGCATTCCAAAGACATCGCCACATTTCTCTGAGTATCAGGCTGTGTTAGTTAGCTTTCTATTGCTGTGATAAAACACTGACCAAAAACAACTTGGGTAGGAAAGAGTATATTGCATCTTATACTTGCCAAGTGACAGTTTGTCTGTGAGGGATGTCAGGACAAGAACTCAAGGCAGAAACCTGGAGGCAGGAGCTGAAGCAGAGACCACAGAGGAACTGGCTTGCTTATCTGGCCTGTGCTCAGCCTGCTTTCTTACACAATCCAGGACTACATGCCTAGGGGTGGTACCACTCACAGTGGGCTGGGCCCTCCCAGATCACTCAACAATCAAAAAAATCATAGAATCATAGAAATTCATAGAATTCTAGGAAATTCTATGAATTTTAGAATCATAGAAATTCATAGAAAATCATAGAATTGCCCACAGGCCAGTCAGTCCAATAGAGGAAATTCCCCAGTTGAGGTTTCCTCTCCCCAGGTGTGTCAGGATGACAACTGAAAGCCAACATTGACGTGGATGTGGATGTATTGGTCCTGGGAGGCTTAGGAGGAGTGGTCCCTGCCACCTTGGGGGCAGCAGAAAAGGAAGGGCAGATCCGCCAGGTGAATGTTGGAGGAAAGGAACCAGCAAACAGTAGAAAGGGCAACACAGAAGAAACCCAGGTCTTAGTCACAGAAGGGAAGGAGAAAATAGATGGTGGCCAACTTGGAAAAGTGAAACTTGGGCTATAAATCTTAGAGCCCAAGATCCGAATCACACAGAATGGGAATATTGATGGGGTAAAAGAAGGCCGGGAAGATACTGGTCTTACTTTGCTGAGAAAAGACTGAAAATCTGAATGATAAAGAGAGGACCAGAGTTTGGAGAGCAAGCCTCTACCAGTGTCTTCTTCCTTGGTTTTGCTTCCTTCTCTGTCAGTTAGCAGAGGGTAAGGGTGGTTGTGATTTCTGAGATATGTCCTGTCTCAGATGGGCCTGTTCTTCAGTGGGGCCCTCAGTGGATAATGCAGTATTAGGACTTGACACAATGCGAAAACAGCAGCCAGCCATTTCGTGAGTGGATTAACAAATAGAAAAGGCTGAGTCGACATCTTTTTAAATATACTGTTTCTGATGGGTGGCTCTTTTTCCCTATTAAATTACAATGCTTTTTTGTACCTGACATCTTTGTTTGCTTTTGTTGTGCTAGCATTGGTATGAAAGCTGGATGGTCTCGAGGTTTGTTCTAGATGGACATGAAACAGGAATGAAACGAATGTAAAGAACATGTCTCCATTTTATGTTATAGTGGGTCCAGAGGGCACTGCCACAAGGGCCAGAGACAGTGAGCTCTGGATGTTATGACCTGGAAAGCAGAGTGCTTGGGGGAAACGAGTTTCACTTTACTCTGCAAACTGAGGATTGTGACTGTGACCCTGTCCTGCACTCTTGGCGAGGCAGCAGGTGCCCTCTCCCCCCATAGATCTGCTCCTCCTGCTCAGGCTGCTGTCTGTTCTGAACCTGCTTCCTGTGAGCTGTTGGCCTGGTATGTTGTGCCTCTGTCTGCTCTATGCTGTGAAGACTGAGTGGAAAAGAAGCCAGAACTGAGACTCCAGCGCTGCTGCTGTAGTCCAGAATATGAAAGAGCAGAATGTGGAAACTTCCCAGTGTTGGGGAAGATGTCAATGTTGGGGCAATGAAATGCTCTTTTACACCCAGTCTTGCAGCTGTGCCTCTTCCTGGGGACTAGTAATAGGATGCTGCTTGGGTGGGGCTATTGCTCAAAGGGAAGACTGCTTCCCCTGGTTTGGCTGGACTTGTCATGTTCCTAACCCAGGTGAGTGTGGCTTGGGTGTGTAAATAGACTACCTTAGTCTCAATGCAAAGCTCAGAAGTGAAAGAAGGTGAACTGGCCTCATTTGGCCTAAGGTGGGCTGGGTGCTGTGCTGGCTAATGCAGCTTCTTACACCTGCTCAATCACCACCCTGCAGCCTGCCACAACTGACTTGTGAGCATACCTAAGGCCAGGGATGTAGCATGGCTGCCGCCATCGCAACCCTGAGAGCAACACCCTTCTTTGACTTCACCAAGAGGCCTGTGCTGCTGCAGGACTTGTGTCGTGGGGCACCCCAAGAGACATGGCCTTTCGGGGTCTCATTTCTGGGAAATTCTAATGTGTCTTGAGAGAGTTTCTCATTGTTGGATATAGCCTCTTCAAAATCTTTTTACAAATGTGTTCTAGATCCTCGCATTAACTTTAGTCCTCAATACTGTGGTGCTTTTTATATACATATGAAATGTATATAAAACCTAATGTATTAGCATGAACATATGCAGGAGATACATTTCTACCCAGGTCTTCTTTTTCTTGTAGTTCTGTGTCCTACATAGAGCATGTGACATCAGGAGCAGCTTCACCCTCTGTCAATTCCACGCTCGAATTCCTGCGGCATTATTCTGAAAGCTGGCTATCTCCTCTTCCTGATATTGGAAACCCAGCACATTTGAACATGGGTTTGTGATTCAATGTTAGTAGGTCATGACTTCACTAATTCATCACAAAACAGAAGCAAGAGAACCATGGCACGCTTGAATTCTCAAGATGCGTTTTTGTAAATGTAACAGTTATAAACAGTTTTCTAAGTTGGCAGAGTCAAAGGAGAGGAGTATGAACTGTGCATGTGCAGTTACGGTTTTCATTGACAGTGTGCCCGATAATAGTTTTTATGGCTTCTTCCGTGTAAACTGCACTGATCTAGAGTAAAGCACTGGGAGAGCTATACCATGGCTCCTCTTCATGACAGTGAGAATGAACGCTGATTTTTATGAACATTGTCAGTATAAATATTACCTACCAGTATTGTCCGGAGACTTAGACTTAACAAACGTGGCCTGTTGTGAAGTGCGCTGCTGCCATCTACATTACGCTGGCCTAAGTGTGAGCTTCAGACCCTAATGGAGAGGACTGGTTTATAGCTGCCTGTTGCACCCTTGTTCATGCTTTAACCATTATGATGCCACTCTCAGAATCTTGTATGAACTTTGGATGTGTGTCTGTTCCCTGTCTGTGAAGAAGTGTACGTTGTAAAGAGTTCACATCCTCTGAGGTGCTTTAAGGAACTGCTGTGGCACTGCCTGTTCCCATGGCAATGTTCAGTTTCACTAACACCTGTGTGTTTTTCTATAGTTGCTCACAACTACAGCACTGATTGTGAACACTTTTGCCAGTTTCAATTAAATCAGTGGCATTTAATAAAATAATATATACTTCAGAGCCTTGAGTTTTTGTTTTGCTTTGCCCTCAGGGCTAGATTCCTGCACATCTATGTAGAGTCCAGCACGACAACCTTGGAGCTGGGGAAGCCCTGACTAGCCCAGGAGGGGCCTTTCTAGATCATGCTACACTGCTGTGGGATGATAGTTGTCCTCCTATTTTGCTGGAGGAGGCTGTGACAGTCTAAGGAGCCAGGGCTCTTTCCACCTCAGAGGCTGGGTGCGTGCAGGCTGTCCACACTCCTTGCCCCACAGTTGCTGAGATGCTGTGACTGCTGCACAAGGTGTGGTTCGGCTTGTAGTCTGGTGACACTTGGCCTCAGCTATCATCTAGGAGGTGTGTGGAACTTGAGGTGGTTTTTGTACTGATGTCTTACTTGGTAGCAAAGATATGGGACTGTTTGCTACTTCCCCTTGAATTGCTGAAGATCACACTTACTACAAAAATTAATAATTTAAGAAATTAGAATTGATTTTGCAAAAACTATGCCAAAGAAATGAGACTCTACAGGACATAGTTTAGCAGCCTTTGATATATTTATAGCTCATTCTAAAGTTGATGCCTCTGAAAGTTACACCACTTTTCCCTATCAAGTCCAGTTTCTTTTTAAATAGGTTTCCTCTGATTTTGTTTTATAAACACTTTGTTCTTTGGTAGTAAACTACTATATGATTTTCTACCCCAAACAAAAACTTCTAAGCCTGTGATAAGAGTTTGTTTTGAGAGGTTATGTAACCAAAATCTGAAATCCAGAATGTTTCAAAACCCAAGGTATTTGAGCCTTAACATGGCATCCCAAGTGCAAAACTCCACAGCTGACCTCAGAAATCTGATGTTTGCAATACTTTGGGGTCTCAAGCAGCTTTGGAAAACTGATATTCAGTCTGTTCTAAAGATGAGACTTCTCTAACTTGTGATGCACATTAGGTAGGCGTCTTACCTTCCCGAGAATAGCACCCCTGTACAGTGCCCTGTAGGGACAACCTTTTGCAAGGATCCCTTGGGGATGGGCCACCAGCTGAGGGCTACTTGGGGCTCACTATGCTGCTTTAGGTGTGCTGGCCAGATAATCCTGGAAAAAAAACATTTTTCTTCTCCCAGATAAGAAATCCTTTTGAACGTGGGTACTTTGACTTAGTGTTTATTTACTTCCAAGAACCATGTTCTAAATCATCCCTTTACAACTTTGCCTTTTGAAAACAAGAAACGAACTATAGAACCACGGTGCACTCCAAGTGCCACATATCTGTTTTATTCTTCAGGAAATTATATTTGTTTTTCTTTTACAAGAGCACAACAGGAACCAAAGTAAAAGAGTAATAGATACAGCACTCAGGATAAATCATATCTTTAAAATAATAATAAAAAAATTTACACCTTGTCCTATATCCTGTTAGTATTTTCATATGGCCGTGATTGAAAAAACAAAAAGCAAGCATTTACAATTTTTTTGATAAAGTTTTTTTTATACCAGGAATGGATTAATTGTCAACAAAATTTCATACTAATCAGGCTGATGTAAATCTATCAGTAACATATCATTAACAAATTTATTTTGGAAATAGATAAAAATATTGCCCCTTGATAATAAATCTTTTTTTTTCCTTTGATGCAAACAGCTAGAACACCTTTTTCTTTTCTTTTTGATATTCTAAGACAAAAATGGTTAATCTTCAGATTAATAAATTAGGTCATTATAATAATAAATTAAATTTTTTTTAAAGTTCAGCAACCTCTGTCCAAGTATTTACAACAATACTTGAAAGTTCCTTTACAAAACAGAACACATTTTCTTTTCACATTAAGCATACTGGGTATCTGTGTCTTTCACAACAAGCATTTTTAAAAGAAAAATCAATGCACAAATGGGTCATTAGTATAAAAGTGCTAAGAGCTGTTTGAAAAGTTAACACTATAGTATACAGTCAGTTATATTTGAGGCAAACTACAACAAACTTCCAGCTTATTGTGGACAATATTCCAGTAGTTGTTTCAAACAGTTGTTTGAAGAAAAAAAAAATCCAGGAGCTGATTAGTGATGCAGATAAGCTGCCATCAATGTCTCTGGCCAGTGAGTGAATTGAAAACCAACGGAAAGCAAATCCAAATGAGGAAGAAGATTTTAATAAAGAGCTATCCTCTCATAGCAGGTGTGGTGCTGGTTGCTCAAAGTGTGCACACACACAGACACACACACGCATGCACACACACACACACACACACAGACACACAATCTTTTCTTTCCAATTAAACTGCAGGTAAATGAGATTTTTGTGTTATTAAAAAACAAACAAACCCCCAAACCCTAGGTGATCAGAAGCATTGATATGGAATGCTGTTTATCTGCCTTTGTTCCGGTTAAAATCTCATAAAAATACATTCAACAGGAAAACATAAATTGTATGTGTATAAATATATACGCATATATTATATACACACGCACACAAATACTTTTGTTTTTGAAGCATAAGATAGTTATATAAATATTCCTATAATTGCTAAAGTTTAAAGAGGCATAATTTTTTTGAGCTTCAACAAAGGTGCTTGAATAATACACAATTAAAATGAAGTAGTTTCTATTTTGTAGAATCAGTATATAATAAGGAAAAAAAAATCCCAGTCTTTTTTTTTTTTTAAAGTTTCTTCTTAAGCTAGAGCTTCAACAAAACTATGAACAACCAATGATTTAACAGAACAAAACAACAACGAACAATGAAGTGCGGCCCCTGGAAACGCCTGGTGTCCTCCTCCCTCCCCTCCTTCTTGCCATGTTGTTGGGAAAGCTCCAGTGCTCACACCAAGAAGTGACTTTGTTCTTACTCATCTGTTGTCTCTACTAGGAACTGCCTGATTGGCATGGAAGGAAACAGAAGCAGCAAAAAGTATAACTCTTAACTGTATATCCTTAATAACCCGCTTTAGAGAAATGTTGCCATCACACTTCCCTGGCTTTCCTCACTGCCTACTGCAGCTGTGACTGTAAGAAAAGAAACTTGTGGCTTTAGACCTGGGATGGCTATCAAGAGTTCCGATGCGCTCGTCTGGTGGTTCTAAGGTGGTTATGGCAGCTGGGTCGCAAGGCTTTTTGTATTCCTGCTTATTCAGACCTGAGCTTTGCAGCAACCAATGCGGTCTTCAGAGCAATAGGAAAAAATATCCTCTGGGCCATGAACTGCTTTTTTTTTTTTTTTTTTTTTTTTTTTTAAACTGGCTTTCTCTCCGAGCCAAGCTGACCAAATTTTCTTCCCAACACTACCCTCCCAACCCATTTCCCCAACCAAACTCTCTGTTCCCACCCCCAAATACCTCTACAGCTATCTTACAAGCAAATATACCTTAGCAATTTTAAAAACTTTGGTTCTAAGAAAACACTTGGTCAGTTATCTTGATGCAGAGTGGGAATACTTGTTCTGCTGTAGACAGAGCCCATCCCAGTAAGTCCTCAGCGCTGTACATCAAGTCACAATCCAATACAATCCATTAAGCAAGTGCACAAATTCTAGTTTACTTTTAAGAGCAGATGTAGTCGTTTTCTGTCTTTTTAAACCTCATCCATGCTGCCTGCATTCACACTGTTTGGTAGAAATTGTCTGCCTGTAGATGGTTCTGTTTTTGCATGCTGTAGAAGCCACTGAATCGTGCATCTGGTTCAGCAATTCTTAGCATTCTCTGGGAACTGTCCACCTGGACTCGGGTCCCCTTCTTGCAGTCCACAGATACCAGCTGATTATTCAAGGAAGAAGGCTATTCAGTGAGAAGAGGGGAAAAAAAACCACACTAAGAATTAGCTGAGTTGTATACTCTAACTGAACTGATGTTCAGGACCTAATTCAGCTGACAGTTTCACGATTTATCAGTGGTCAGATTTTACATGGGGCATTTTATCCTCTTGTTCCACCTATTCCTTCATTGGTGAAGTGACATGGCAACTATTTTCAAGTCCCTGGACTGCAGACTTGCATTTAAGAGGGTTGGAAATGAGTAAAAGTTGCCAGGTGGCGACTTTTTAAACAAAACACAGATTTCTAGTCACTGAGGGTGTACTTACACCCTCCCAGGCTGGGCCAACTTGTCTGTGCCCTGTCATCTCATGCCTTTATATCAGGGTGTTTTTTCCAAACTTTGGACAGTGGTCTCAACTTTGCCTTTCCTTGCTCTGCACCTTGTTTTGATCCAGTTACGTGTCTAGCATAAAGGCTGTGCCTCACGCATATTTGTCAAAAGAAAAATCAGAGGCCGAATTTCATATGGAAGGGGAAGGCCTACTAACTAGATGGGAAGGTGGAAAAAATATTTAGGTTGTATAATTTTAAAAATGTAAATGCAAAAGGTAGGATTAGAGTTGGAAGGAATTAGGATTTATTTCCCTATAGTCTTAGAGGTCCTTTGATAAAAGCAAAAGCAAAGCACCTTTTGTCCTTTGGCCTGCCTCTTGACCTTGCCTAGCGTTGTTTTGGTCTCCCCATGCCTTTCTTTTTGCTTACCTGTGACAAGTCCACCTGACTTGTGCATCCTCAGTCTCTTCCAGCTGTTCTTGCCCTCCCCTCTTACCTCCCTTCCTTTCTAATTTTCATCCCTACTGGAAATTGAAAGACGACTGAGAAATAACAAATGATCAAGTTTTAATTTTTAATATGAACAATAATTCAGGGCTCAACCCAGAGGTACTTGCTCATTTGAAAATATTGAAGTACACTGAGGAAGTTGGGCCCATGAGAAGTCAGGATTCATTACCCAGTGCGTGACAGGTAATTTACCCAGTGACCCATGTAGTCCTGGTACGTATCATATGCTTGCTACATGTGATAGCTACAGCCTGGTTTACACTTGAGGTTATGGCTAGCAAAATAGGGATGGCACTGGCTAATACAGAAGGTATTAGGAAATGTTAGGGAAATAAAGGAGCATAAGTTTTCCTAGTCCTCTATCATTCAAGAAACCCTGAGATGGTACCTTAGTTGGTGTTCGATACCAGCACAGCAGCGGAATCCACTGCTT